AGTGGAGAAGTCACCAGGCCCAGATGGGATGCTTCCTAGATTGCTGTGAGAGTTAAAGGGAGCAAATTGTGGAGTCATTGACAGAAATTTTCCAGACCTCTTTGAACACAGGATTAGTCCCACGGAACTGGAGGATTGCTAATATGACGCCATTGTTTAAGAAAGGTACAAAGGACAAACCAGGACCTGTCAGCTTGACATCAACAGTGGGATAAGATAAATATACACTCAGAGATAAAAAAGTTAATATTAGACAGTCAACATAACTTTTTCAACAGCAGTTTTTAACGGAGTTCTTTGATGAGGTGACACAAGCATTGGATGAGTATAGTGCTGTGGATGTTGTATATTTGGACTTTCAGAAAGCATGTGACATGATGCCACATTGCAGGTTGGTTCACAAATTGGAAATATTTCGGATTGATGGGTCCTTGGCAGCATGGATTAAAAGTTGGCTAAAAAATAGCAACCAATGGTAAGTACAGATGGGCATTTTTCAGATTGGAAACAAGTTGAAAATGTTGTTCCCCAGGGATCAGTTTTGGGACATTTCCAACGACTTGGCTGTTGAGGGCAAAATCTCTAAATTAGCAGATGATATGAAACTAAGGAGAAAAGTGAATTGTAAGGATGATGCTGAGCGACTTCAGAGGGATGTTGACAAGTTGGCCCACTGGGCAGACACCTGGAAAATGAATTTCAATGCAAAGAAATGTGAGATAATGCCTTTTGGTAGGAGAAACACAGAGAGACAACACAGGCTCAACAATACAACTTTGAGGGGATTCTGGTAGAGGAACCTCTGGGTTCACATGCATGATTCTCTGAAGGTGGCCTGGCAAGTTGAAATAATTGTTAAGGCGGCTTATAGGATCCCTGGGTTTATAAATAGAGACATAGAGTATAAAGGCAAGAAAGTGATGCTACACCTCTATAAATCTTTGGTCAGACCACATTTACAGTATTGTGTCCAGTTCTGGGCACCCTATTTAAGGAAGGGTGTTAAAGCCCTGGAGAGAGTTCAAAGGAGATTTAGTAGAATGATACCAGGAATGAAGGATTTAAGATACAAGGAGCTTATTCTCCTTGGAGGAGAGAAGATTAAGATGTGACTTTTTGAGGTGCTCAAAATTATGAACAATTTTGACAGGATAAAGAAGGCTATTCTGTTTCCACTAGTTGTTATGTCAGTAACTAAGGGTCACAATTTCAAGATTGTCAGCAAGAAAGCTAGGAGTGAGATGTGGGGAAACTTCTTTACTCAGAAAATTATTAGGATTTGGAATGCACTGTCTGGGAGAGTGGTGGAGGTGGATTCTATAGGAGGTTTCAAAAGAGACTTGAATATATATTTACAAGTGATGAAGTTAGAGGGCTACGGAGATAGAGCTGGAGAGTGGGACTAGCTGGGTAATTCTTTCGGGAACCAGTAGAGATATGGTAGCCTCCTTCTGTACACAAAATTCTATGATTCTATTCATGGTGACAGACTGAGCCAGGAAGGAAAATTTCTGTTTATTTAAATAACTATTAATAGATAAAGTTGGGGAGTAGATAGGATTTTATTTTGCCATGTGATTTGAAAGCTTTCAAACTGTGCTTTGTTTAGATAACTGAGCATTTTTCTATTGCCCTTGTGTAATAAAATTATTTTATCGTTTAAACTTAATCCACAGCCTTGTATGTTTATGTTTCAGTTCATGTTGAATTGAGAAAAGAAATCTATCAGGCCAGATTTCTTTCTGGGACACATTGGTCACAAATCTCATGAAAACGTCATAAGAGACTTCAATTCTTCACTTTAAACAATCTGGACTAGAAATTCCCTCAAGTGCCATTTCATCATGCTCTGCATCAACAACTACTTATATTCTGGTCAATCACCCTCTTTTCTCCTCGAATTACAATTTTCTCATTTTTTTGGAAACTGTTCTCCAACACTTACAGACACACTCCAGGTTTTCACAAACACCTAGCCACCCTAGGTTAGTACAATCCCTGCATGTCAGGCAAAGTGAGATTTCAGTGAATATCTTAAGTTAAAAGCTAATATCAACAATGGTTTGGATTTACAATGTCTGTACTAACCAATACTGCATAAACTAAATTATAAATTAAATATGTCAATATTCCCTGCCTGTTCATGTGTCTAACTGCCACTTAACCATATTGAATCTGCTTTTACTGACTCCTTTGCCAAAGTGTTCCAGTCACCTACCACCTTCTGTGTAAAAAAAAATTTCCACGCAGATTTCCTTTAAACTTTCTCTAACCTATCTTAAAACCATGCCTCCAGTATTTCACATTTCCACTCTGGGAAACAGACCTCAATTATCTACCCTATCCTTGCCTCTCATAATTTTATATACTTCTATCAGCTTGCCCCTGAGCCTCTGACACTCTAGCGTTTGTCCAACTTCTCCTTATAGTTAATATGCTCCCATCCAGGCAACATCCTGGGAAACCCCTTTTGCATATAATCAGAAACTATTGGAAAAATTCTGATTCTGATTTTGTTTTGGGTTTCCAGCATCTGCAGTTTGTTAGTTTTTTGTTTAGTATTAACCTCTTATGAATCTTCTCCAAGCCTCTGCGTCTTTCCTATAGTATGGCAACCAAACAGCACACAACACTCCAAATGTGACTTAACTAAACTTTCATACAGCTTGTTATTCTGGATTGTCTGCCTTCAATCCGAACAGTCTGCTCAGCACTTTTTCCCTAGTAATGATGATTGATCTAAGTTCCTCCCTTTCTATAACTTCTCCATTACCTGTTAGCGTTACGATGGCACTTGTGTCATCCATTGGGAAAACTGAAGTAAGATATTAATTTTGTGATGCCGCCATTTCTGTGTTCCCTACTATTAACTCCTCTGTCTCACCCTCCAAGGGAACACCATTCACTTTGGCCCTTTTATATTCTTATAGAAGCTTTTACCTATCTGCTTTTATATTTTGCACTAGTATTCTTTAATAATTTACTTTTGGTCTGTTTATGACTTTTTTCAGTAAGTTGACCTTTACAAGTTGCCCAATCTTCCAGCCTGCTGATTGCCTTTGCAATACGGCATGCCATAACTTTTATCTTTGTATTATCTTTAACTTCCATAATTAGGCATGGATGTTTCTATCACCCCCCTCAAACAATCTTTCTTCCTTTACAGAATATATTTTAGTTAGGAGTAAATGAGTATCTTCTTAAACATCAGCCATTGCTCATCAACAATCCTACATTTTAGTCTTCTCACCCAGTCCATTCAGGCCAAATCTGGCCTCCTGCCATAAATTACCTTTGTTTAATTCCAGAATGCTGATATGGGACTCAAGTTTCTCACTCTTCAATAAAAGTTCAAGTACTACCTTTGAAAAATACTTAATTGGCTGCAAAGCACTTTAAGAAGTCCTGAGGTTGGGAAATACACTATTTGAGTGCAAGTTCTTTCTTTCTTGACTTCAAATTTCTAATCTGACTAGATTGATTCTCAGCAACAGAGTTTGAGAGCTGGTCTCAATGAGGCTGAGCTGAGGAATATATTTCTCTGTGTCTTATTTTCACCCGTCATTCTGCAGTGCCTATTTTCAAGTGGCAATGTCACCTTTGACACAGACTTTGGGACAACTTCTCAATTTAGTATAAAAGCAGTGACAATGACAGGGTATCCAGAAGGGCTCTGCCCCTAACTTTTAACCTTAGGACTTAAGGATCTGTAATTAAAACCAAAATGTTTTAATTAAGATCTGCAGTGGTTACATAGCATAACTTGATATGATTCAAATCAGTCTGTTCTTCCTGTGCAGTTTTAGTACTGATAATTAATTAAATGTGCTAATGCTAGGAAGAACTCATTTTTCATCCCATCAAGCAGGAGCAGAAAACAAATAATACTGATTATGGGACTCAAGTCCTGACATATTTGACAACTTAGTGAAGCCAGGCAATCCTTGTAAATTGTTGTCTCCAACATTGTCGAAACTTCTATGCATGTGGGTTTTCTGAACTTCACAACTGGGCTCCAAGATACACACATGTTGGTAGGTTTGAGATTTGAACTTCTTGTTACGCTGTACAAGCTTTGAACATGATAGGTTCGCATGTGGCTGGCCAATGCATTAGATCACTAGGCATAATGTCATGAGATTTGAAATCAATAAGCCTAGGCTGATGCTTTGGGGTTTGGGATCAAATCTAACCATGGTCATTGGTGGGATTTTAATTCAATTAATACAATTAGAAACTGAAAGCACGCTTCAGTAGTGATGACCATGAAATTATCCTTGTTTGACATAAAAACCCATCTGTTTCACTGGAGTCCTTTAGGTGAAAAAATCTGTCATCCATACTTGGCCTGGCCTACACGGACTCCAGACGCACAGCAATCGGGTTGACTCTGAGCTACATTTTGAATTGGCTGAGCAAGCTACTCGGGTAGGAACTTGCAACAAAATCTGGCTTTGCCAGCGATGCACACATCCCAGCACAGAACAAATAAAAAAAAACTCTAATTATGCAGATTCATCTGGGTTACATGTACATTCAACAAACAAGCAGAATTATTTCCTTAACGGGTATTCAAGACCTATAAGAGAGGTTTTGAATTTTTTTTTATTCTGGGAATTGAGATTCTCTGTCAGAAACCAGTGTTACTGCAGAGTTCATAACTCCTTTTGAACAGGAATTAGTTACTTGATTGAAATGGAGATTAGGACGTGGGCTTACACAAACTGGCTCATACTGTAACCATGATCCGAATAGTTTATTTCTGCACTGCAGCACTCTACGATCCCCAACTGCACATTTTGTAGAGAGGCAGTTAAGTTACTTTGAAGTTATAGTTTTCAGCTATTTGACGCTGTAGCATGTCAACCATTCAAAATTCACATTTTACATTTCTTAATGCTGTGGGTTTTTTGCCCGAGCGTGGACGTGGGCATGGCTGGATCGGGAGGTGCAGGAGCGTGCAATCAACCACAAAATTACTCTTTCAATAAAGTGCTCACCTGATTTCCAACCAACAGAAGATGTTCGCCAAGCAGAAAGTCCTTGAGCATATCCTCCATTACCTCCATGTGCTAAAGAGAGAACAGACATCTAAAATGAATATTTCATTGAGGAACAAGAGAAGGTACAACTGACAGAAGAAAAAGGCTTGTGACTCTCTTGTCTTTTCAGTTAAGCTAAGTTGGACAATGCACCATTAACTGTACTAAGAGTTATTCTTCTAAGGCAGCTGGAGGGACTTAATGATATAGATCCACCATGTTCTAATCAGGAAGAGGAACAGATTCAAGTGGCTGAATGGTTTACTTCTGTTCTGTTCCTATGTTCCTCAGTACTGTGTAATGGAATATTTTGATGCTTCAATATGAGTATGTATAATCAGGGTCAGGCTTCTCACTCCAAGGTAATAATGTTGAATTTGAAATATATATTTTTGATCAACCTGCTTAGATATGTTATGATACACCTCTGGAGCAGATGGGACTTGAATCTAAGTCTTCTGGCTCAGAGGTAGGAACACTAGCCTTGTGCCACAAGATTCCTCTTTTAAATTTTACCATCTGTCATGATGGGAGATGAATCTATAAGAAATATGCAACTTCTTTGGCTAACTACAGATTAACTGCTTTTACCAGAGTACCTTTGCAAAATGGCAGGTACGCAAGTGATAAGATCAAAACGAGCACAGTGAGTTTTTCAAGACCTTGATTTATTAATGGGAGGTTTTTATTGTTTTAAAATGTTTTGATTTTTTTCGTGCTTTCTGCTGGAGAGGAGGAATTCAGCCTAAGAATGTTTGTCAATGTTTATGTTTCTAAATAACATGGTGACCAAACGAAACCAGCCATATTCCTTACAGCTGGATTATCACAAAATGGACAGACTAAGTGAAAAAGCAATGCTCACACTTGCTACTGCAAAGTGTGGGTCAGCCCAATCTCAAGTAAAACCCAGATTTTTCATCTGCAAGGGAATCGAGGGATATGTGAAGACAGAAACAAAAGTGGAGTTAAAGGCCACAATCAGAACAACCATGATCTTACTGAATAGGAGATAAAGATTCAAGCACCACACGGCCAGTTCAGCTTCTACTTCTGGTGATCTTGTGAATGATATCTAATTTGATTCCGCTGCTGGTAAAGATACAGCACTTTGGCTCTGGGGCCGCACATGCTGATCCAAAGTAGACAAGTGGTATGTATTCTTCTTGTAGAGTAACTAACACTTGAATTAAATGCTGGAGCGAGGAAAGTATGAGATTGCTCTTGATGGACATATCAAGATCACCATTCTCATTTATAAGTATCTGTGATCTTGTGAAATGAAAAATATATAGATCTCTAACACGAAAAAGCTTGGAAATTACTTTACTTGAGAGAGATGTGAAGTTGTTAGTAATTTAAAGAGCGATTCAGGCCAGTGGAGCACATATTTATTGCAACTGGCAAGTGATCAAATGAACAGAGAGGTCAGCTGGAACGACTGCCAGGGAATCTGAGTTAGCTCTAATAAGGCTAAATTACTCCCAGCATTCAGACTTGTTTATTAGCATCTGGCCAATTAGTTTTCTTCACAAAATCTGTTCAGTGAATAAAGAATATAGGTCAGAAAAAACAGGTCAAGCAAATCAAATTTCAACTATCTGAATCCCGATTGTTTCAAGGCTAGCTCGACAGAAGACGAGTCGTAATCCCTTGTGAAGTTTAATGAGATTTGACGGTTGTTCATGGAATTATTGTCTTGAGAGAATTACTGAGAAATCCGTGGGATCTGTCTGATTACATTAGTTATTTGATGTGTGCTGTGGGAGTTTGATCAGACTCTACTAGCCAAGTTTACCACATATTAATCCTGGGTGCAAGAAATACATTCCATAAATATTGAAGATTTTATTAATGTTCTAACGACATAAACTTCACAGTTGTTGGTTCAAACCTGTGGAATATCCTTGAATGTTTATACTTTTAGTAATTCCCTGAATATCACAGTTCATTAATTTAAAAATAAAAGTTACTGAGGCCTAGCCAGATTATAACAATAAGTTGGTGCTATGGTCCAGGATTGTAGCATAACTGTGACCTTCAGGGTTCAGTACACTCAGATCCAAGGGTACTACATTTGATTGTATCAATATGTCTGTTGAATTCAATTCCACACAACAACAGGAGAGAGGCATATTGCAAGGTTTTCAACAGATTGTACACGTCAGTTCAGAAGTCACAGAAAAGCAGTTCAATGGTTACAGGCAGTTGAGGCTACCAGTGAGTGGACAAGTAATCCAGAGACTCAGGACTAACTCTCAGGGGAAGGGTTCAAATCACAGCAAATGGTAGAATCTGAATTCAAATTAAGTCTAGAATTGAAACTCTAATGATGATCATGAAACCATTATCATTTGTTGTAACAACCCATCAGGTTTACTAAATTCCTGCGGAGAAGGAAATCTGCTGTCCTTACCTAGTTTGGCCTACATGTGACTCTTGACCACAGCAGCGTGGTAAACTCTTAACTGCACTTTGAAATGGCCAAGCAAGCCATTCAGTTGCACTGAACCACTAAAAAGTCTCAAAATAGTAATGAAACTGGATTGACCACCTGGCAATCAAACAAGGCATCGGAAATGACATCAAAAAGACTCCTGTTGACCCTGCAAAATCCTCCTGATGAACATCTGAGGGCTAGAGCCAAAATTCAGAGAGCTGTCTCACAGACTAGTCAAGCAATAGTCCAATATAGCCATGCTCAAAAATCATACCTTAGACACAATGTCTCAGACGACACCAACACCATCCTTGGCTCTGTCCTGTCCACCAGCAGGACAGACTGAGCAGGGGCACAGAGGTACGGAGTTGGCCTGCAAATCTTAAAAATGAAGTCTCATGGCATCAGTCAAACATGGGCAAGGAAACCTCAGTCACTGGTTGAGCCCTAAAGGACGTAGCTGCTGGTGATAGAGAAGCAACACGAGGGAAAAACATACTAGACCTCATTGTCACCAATCTTCCTGTTGCAGATGTATCTGTCAATAACAGTATTAATAATACAGACCACCTCATCTTGTGGAGACAAAGCCTCCACTATTATGAAGTACCCTCAGTTGTGGTGTGGCATTATCCAGTGCTGAATGGGATAGACTTCAAACAGATCTGCCACTCAAATCCCAGCATCCATGAGGTGCTGTTGGCCATCAGCAGAATCATACTCCAACGGAATCTGCAACCTTGTGGTTTGGCATATCCCCACTCTAATATTAACCATCAAGCCAGGGGATAAACCTTGGTTCAATGAAGGGTGCAGGAGGGCATGCCAGGAGCAGAACCAGGCGTGCCTAAAAGTGAAATGTCGAACTGGTGAAGCTACCAAACAGAACTTCTTGAATGCAAAACAGTATTGGCAGCAAATGATAGACAGAGCTAGTCACAACCAGCGGAACAGGTCTAATCCCTGCAGTCCTGCCAGATTCAGTTACTAGTGGTGGTGGACAATTAAACAACTTACTGAAGAAGGAGGCTCCACCAATTTCCCCATCGTCAATGATGGGGAGCCCAGCACGTTGCAAAAGATAAGGCTCTAAGTAGAAACATCTTCTTCCTACTCGTAGTCTTAAACCTCAATTTTATTCTGGACCCATTAAAGAAAAGTCTGCTTTGTCTAATTCTGATCCAGCTAGAGAATAGCTCAATACAACCACTCTTGGCTCAGAAGCTGAAGGTCATGAGTTTGGTCACATGCCAGGTTCTTTTGACAGCACCTTCCGAACCTGTGACTTTTACACAAAGAAAGACAAGGACAACAGATAAATGGAATACCAACACCTGCAGGTTCCCCTCAAACAGCATACCATCCTGATGCTGTTCTTTCACTGTCAAACAGTCAAAATCCTGAAACTCTCTTCCTAACAGTACTGTGGGTGTACCTATACCACATGGACCACAATAAACTAAGGTTTAACCTGCACTGGCCACATCCCATGAGTGATTAATAAAAAGTCCCACCTCAGAGATTTCAAACCATCCCAACAAATACTTATCCCACCATCTGACTGAAAACAGATAATTTTAGTGGTTGTTTGGGTCTGCTCTGTCAAAAATTGGCTGCCATGTTTTACATATTAGAGCAGAGACTATCTTTGCCAGAAAGCACTTTGGAACATGAAAGCAGCCAGATTAATGCAAAACAACAAGGTGCAGAGCTGGATGAACACAGCAGGCCA